ACATGCTTTTCCTCAAAAATATTTTAAAGGGCCTTTGGGGTTTATGGAAAGCTAATAGGGGCTGTGGATAATTTCTGCAGAAGAATACAAAAAATTTTTTTTTCACTTAATTTCATGAATTTAGTTAGTTCCCTTGAAGCATATGTAGGGTTCTTAGACTTTGGGCTGAAAAGTAAACACTGATAGGAGATAATTTTGTTGCAATAAGTTAAACTAAAACTAAAAAGATTGCACATAGAAGACACTTCATAGTCTAGCTTACCTTCTTGGAATGTACACAAGGTTGTATGGCTCAGACATTTCTTAAAAACTTCCATATAACTCTGTTCTCTTTCTCCCTCTCTTCCTTTCCTTTCTGTCTTTCTTTCTCTCTTCCCTCTTGATGAAATTTCCCTATAGTTTGCTGAGGCATCAAATCCAAGTTTCTACCCTTCGGCACAAACAATGATACCATTAACTTCCTACCACCCATCTCATTGGGTAAAATGTTGAATTTTTGGCAGTATTTTGCCAGTCATTTACAGACATTCAAATACTGTGAGTAATTAAAAATACTTGTAGTTAGAAATCTATTCCTGGTATGCTCAACGTTCTTTTGAAGTATACTTACATGATCAAACTCAAGACACCCAGTCATTTTGTACAGAGGAGATGCCTCACAGTTCTTCCTCTTTCTTCCTCTCTGCACCTGTCCTTTCCTGCTCTTTCCATTCGTCTCCTTAATAATAAAGTGCAATATTTATCAATATTTATGTGACCCTGCAGATGGGTTTGTGAGTGCCATGGACAACCCTCCCAACAGTTACGTATGGATCTAGTTCATGTACTATCCATTCATTCATTATCTTACGCAGTCTTGAATGAAAGTTGTGAGTGAGATTCGTCTCCTCCTGCATCTTCTCAATTGTTCTTCCTTGTATCTGACCGTCTCCTTCCCTACTTACTGGGACCTGGCTCTCCTTTCCACGGTCTTTTTGCTTGGTGATAACCACCTTGCTGGAGTGGATGCCCACATGGATAAGTGTGCCATTAAATGCCTTTTCTTGGTGTACTTGTTCGATGTAGATGACGTATTTCTTCGTGTACGCCTCCTGGACCACTTTGCCAATCTGCTGGCCTTGGTAGTGTCCTTGGGCAACCTGAACTTCATCATGCTTTCCAATGGAAATAGGTCAAACATTGTACTCTGTCTCAGCTCTTTGGGAAGAGAGGAAGATGTGATCTTCCCCTGGCAGTGAGAAGGTGCTGTTTGTGGTTCTTGCTTTGGTCAGAAGTCACAAAGGAATTCAACTGCCTTTTGGTAGCTGTAGATCAGTGATTGCCACAAAAAGGAAGAGAGCTTAATTTTACTCTTGATCATTATGTCTTTCTTTGGATTTCTTAAATAGAACCTAAGGAGTATGTTTAACATCTCCCCTCCCCCCCCCAGGTGTGTGCACAGGAATGCATGTGTGCATGTACAGTGCAGTTTGGTGTTGCCTTCCGACTCAGCCATTCTCTACCTTATATTCTGAGAAAGGGTCTCTTACTGAACTTGGAGCTTGCAGATTTGGCTCTACTGACTGGCCAGCTAACTACAGCAGACATCCTGTCTCTGCCTCCTAGCCTTAGGATCTAGCCTGCCCCCTGGTCTTTATGTGTGGGTTCTAGGAAATTGAACTCATTTTCCCATGTTTACAGGAGCACTTCACTGATTGAGCCATTGCTCCAGGCCTAACATGCTTTTTTTTCCTTAATGGTTAATGGTTAAAGATTATTGCTTATTGATGGTTTGTATAGTCTCTACAGAGATGTGTGCCTCTCCTAGCAACATGCATGCATACTGTTGTGCAGGTATCAATCCAGTACAAGGACTTTGAACTCTATCTTAGCCCCATATTGGGTACAGACCTCTCTTTTCCACACACAATGAAAAACCAAGCACAAGTGTTTTTGCAACCTTCTCTAACATTCGAAAGGCCTTGGCTTTTAATTTTACATTCCTAAAAAAGTCAATATTGATTAATTGTAGATTACTTTCCCCTGAACTGATACAGAATAAAAAAAAATTATTTTCATTGGTCTCATGTGTAATTGCCAAGTTTTATGAAATCAGCAGAATGTTTAGAACACATTTCTCTTTATTCCATAGTCAGCACATTGGCCATCATGAATTCTTCATGTACTGTAGGAACAATGAAGCTGATTTTATGGCGAGTGGGATACTGAAATAGTTGTTTCCTTAACTTTAGTAAAAGAGCTAGAAACATCTCTCTTCCAAGCATAGATCATTCTTGTTGTTGTATACTTAAACATGTTGTGGTTACTGTAGTAAAAATAAGCAAGGAGGCTTTATTGTTTTGCATTAAGTATTGTACGATCAGACACCGTGTCCAAAGGCTTCCACTTCCAGAGGGTTAGAGTCTGTGACCATCATGCCAGGGAGCATGACATGAAGGCCACTGAAGCAGTAGCTGAGAGCTCATGTCTTGTGATGCAATTGTAAGTCCCAGGAGCACACACTGCAACCAGGCCACACCTCCTCATCCTTCCCAAGCAGCTCTACCAACTGGAAAGCAGGTGTGGGGGCCATTCTCATTCAAAACCCCACAAGTGTGTCATGTATTTCCATGGGCCATTGCTAAGATATGTACCAGTTAAACAGTCAATTGTAACTTAGGAATGATGCTGCTCCTAGGGTCGACGCCATAGTTACCTCTGCAACCTACAATATGTAACTACAAGCTTTTGCTGCAAAGTCTTTTGTAGCAGTAGTAACTCCATGGCTCAGAAATCCACCTGCTTCTGCCTCCCTAGTGTTAGGATTCAAAGTGTGAACCACACCTGGCTTAAGATTATTATTAATTCTTTTTTGGCTTTTCAAGACAGGGTTTCTCTGTGTAGCTCTGGCTGTCCTGGAACTCAATCTGTAGATTAGGCTGGCCTTGAACTCAGAGATCTGTCTGCATCTCCCTCATGAGTGCTGGGATTAAAGGCATGTACTACCACTGCCTGACCAAGATTATTAATTCTTTTTTTTGTTGTTTTTTTTGTTTTGTTTTGTTTTGTTTTTGTTTTTCGAGACAGGGTTTCTCTGTGTAGCTTTGGAGCCTATCCTGGCACTCGCTCTGGAGACCAGGCTGGCCTTTAACTCACAGAGATCCGCCTGCCTCTGCCTCCCGAGTGCTGGGATTAAAGGCGTGTGCCACCAACGCCCGGCTAAGATTATTAATTCTTAATGTTCAACTTTTTGGTTTTTAAGCAGACCACAGTAGTAAACTTTTGACAGGGGGAGAATTAAGCTAAATATTTGTAGTAAAATGATTTCCTTTTGCTTTCTAATGTTGATATGGTAAGCAGTATAAACTAAATTTAGTTCAAGTATTTTGAGATGAATAAGGAGAAAAATTTTGATGATCTTAATTTATAATAAACCCTACTAAGAACAATATATCTCAGTTGTATAGTTTTTTAAAAAGGAAGTTACTTAAAATAACTGAATACTGCTTAAAATATTTGAATAAACAAAACAGATGAGTTAATTACTTAAAACTTAAATTTTAATAACTTTAGAGCTAGGATTTGAATTCAGTTCTTAGAGTCTTGGAAGTCAATGAGAATTTATTGAACAGAGGCTGTGATAATAATTGTTGGAGCTTAGGAAATATCTGTGCTCTTAAGGTTTCTATTAAAGGTAACTCAGCCTCTGACCCTGAAATAGTAGGATTAGCAGATAAGGAATTTGTGTTCTATTTCTATAATTACTGTCGGTTTCTTGGTTTAGTTTATCTTAGGACCAATCATGCTATTGCTATTCATTGTTTTTGAGACTAAATAAAATGAAAATCTAGTTTTTAAAGCTGAGAGAAAGAACTACATGAATATATGACTTAGCAGTTGCTTCCCTGTTTTGTAGGCTGTGTCTTCCCTTAGAGTAGACTTCATATAGATTTCTCAGAGTGTAGACAGGAGTGTTGTTAGTTTTACAAGTATTGTGTAATTTGTTTTGGCTTGAATGAGGTGATTATTATAAACAGACATGGAGATACATGCAATATTAAAATCAGTTATACTTCAGAAAATATTTTGCTCTTACTTGAGAGAGAACAGTTAAATAGCTGGACAGTTGGCTGGATGGTGGTGGTATACACTTTTAGTCCCAGAACTCGGGAAGTAGAGACAGGCAGGTCTCTGAGTTTGAGGCCAGCGTGGTCTAAAGAGTGAATTCTAGAACAGCCAGGGATACCAGAGAAACCTGCTCTTTTTTTAAAAGCTGAACAACTATAACTTTACAGTATAGTTTTTTCCTCGTTGCTGTGTTCATGTCTCTCTGCCTTCCTATCTGGAGTGTAGCTTGCTCATACTTTATTGTCCTTGTCTTTTCTACAGTTGGGAGGTGATAATTTAACTTTAGGTTGTTTTCTCTCCCTGTTCCACAGGAGTTCAGTGTATTCAATATACTGTAAACTCTGCCTTGCTAAGGGTTCCGTGCAATCCAGAAATAATCTGTGGTGAAGGGAATAAATCAAAACTGTCCCTTTTTAACATTTTTAAAATCTAGTAGTGAGAAACAATGTAACTAGTTAAAGTTCCTATTGAGTGCAAGCATGAGGACTTCATTTGGGACCCCCCAGCATCCATGTGAAAAGTTGGTATGGTTCCAGGTACCTGTAATCTCAGCTCTTAGCCATAGAATGTATGGATAGGACTGTGAAAAGGTGGACCCTTAGAGCTCATTGGCTAGCCAACCCCCTGAATCAATGTGTTCCAGATACAATGAGGGACTCTTGATAAGGTGGAGGGGCTGGAGAGAGATGGCTCAGCATTTAAGAGCACTGGCTGTTTTTCCAGAGGACCTGGGTTTGATTCTCAGCACCCACATGGCAGTTTACAACTGTCTGTAACTCTGGTCAGGGAATCTGATGCCCTCTCCTGGCCTCTGCAGGCACATGATGCATAGACATACATGAAGACAAAATACCCATATGCGTAAAATAAAATTAAAAGATTTTTAAAAAGATAAGGTGAATGTGATAGAGGAAGACAACTAACATTGATCACAATAATGTGTACCTGTACACAGACTCAAACACACACACACACACACACACACACACACACACACACAAAAAGGAGAAGAGGAAAAGAGAAAACAAAAAACAATGATAACAATAATGTGTGCCTGTACACAGACTCTAACACACACACACACACACACACACACACACACACACACGAGCCTTACAGTCCTAACTCAATAATGTGTGCCTGTACACAGGCTCTAACACACACGAGCCTTACAGTCTTAACTCAATAATGTGTGCCTGTACACAGACTCTAACACACACACACACACACACACA